GTGGGTGCATTAATGTAATGCATATGCTATGCATCAGAGAAATAATAAGGAGAATTTACTGCCACATTTCACAGTTCAGACAATGAAGATGTATGGGAGGTAATTTGCCAGCTTTGTGTTGTTTGGAACTCTGATAAAAGAAAGAAAACAATGTATTGAAAGCCTTTAATATTCTAAATATACAGTGTGAGGTAAGGGGTTAGTGCATGTTGGTGTTCTAGAAACAACTGGAAGTTAGTTACTGTAGTTTGACACACAGCTCATGGAGGATAGTAATGTCCTTTATAACTCTTTGTGATTTTCCTTTAAACCCCTAAAGACATACTATATGCAATTCAATTCAATTCAATTTTATTTGTATAGCGCCAATTCAAGTGTTTATCCAAACAAGGATTACAGAAAGAGTACATACAAAATGGTGCAATAATCAAGGATAAATCAGTGCAATTAGTGCAAGGGAAAAGGGGTAATGGTACTTGTAAGCTCTCATAGTAGTACTCCATAAAGGGGGCCTTTAAGGGTCTGATTTTTGCAAGTTTCAGAAAATGTATATAGTGTCTCTTATCCATCTTGTGAAGTTAAGATGGGCTTGTTCCTTCCAGAGAAAGAAATTATGTCTTATAACGTCTTATAGGAGGTAAATGCTACCTCCTAAACTTTGCCTTTACGGGACAAATGGGAATGGGTGTCTGATCGCTACATTTTGGGTCAAGATTTTTAACCATCCCCATTAGACCCTGGGGACCCTTGTGTCAAATCCGGGGGCTAGGCCAATAGCCTTGAGGATGAGACAGTTTGAGACAATGGTGTCAGTAGCAATCAGTCTGAATAAAGAGCCTTGGTATATCTCTGTCTTGTCTCTAGGTCAGATCGACTCTCTGTGGAGCCCGCTGTGGATCGGCCTATATGCGCAGCACCTAGAGCGCTGGCTGGCCTGGTTCCCCAGGACTCAGATCCATCTGGTCAGCGGGGAGAGGCTCATCTCCGACCCGGCCGGAGAGCTGGGCAAAGTCCAGGACTTTCTGGGTCTCCAGAGGATCGTCACGGACAAGCACTTCTACTTCAACAAAACGAAAGGCTTTCCCTGCCTGAAGAAGCCAGAGGGCAGTAGTAAGCCTCACTGCCTGGGGAAGACCAAAGGGAGGACGCATGCCACCATTGACCCGGAGCTGATGCAGAGACTAAGGGATTTCTATAAGCCGCATAACGAGCGCTTCTATCAGATGGCGGGTCAGGACTTTGGATGGCAGTGACCCTTTTGACTGTGTGGAACCAGAGGCTTTTGTTAGCATTACACTGCTTTGGGTGGAAGCCTGTGCAAATGTTCCATCTGACTGAAACAGATTGAGTGCAAAAGATTCAGAGAACAGAGCCAATTATCCGTTTCTGACTCAATAATGAAAACCCAGTGTCAATACATACACCTCTATCAATCGATCGTGTTGTTCTAGAGTTTGAAAGACAGCAGCGTCATTTTATCTATCATAGATGTTCAGTAAAAAGGTACTTTTGTGGTATTAAGCAAGGGTGTCCCCTGGCACCGTTCTCGTCTGGTAGGCTACTTATTCCTACCCCAGGTGGTTAAATAAAGCATTTGTGTGCAAAGTTGGTCACGTGACTGTGGTTGCTATAGGTTGCGGCTGTAAAAAAAATTGATTGGTGAAATACGCAGTGTAGCTTTTAGTGTCTCTGGTCTGCAGTGTAATCCTGAAGCTCTAGTTGGTAGTGGCACAATGAACCCACAACAGACACATTTTCACATTCCTCAATTTCCACACCTTTCTTATTCTACCTGTTTGTTCTTCAGAATTTAAGGGCAATCAATGCATACATATTGAGTATCGTCCTCCAAGCATTGTTCCCGAAAAGGGGGGGATGAATCTTTTATGTGGCGAGCGGCAGAGGGGCGAGCGAGAGAATCTTTATATGAGCTCAGATTTGACTGAGTGGTTTTGTATTCTTGAATAATGAATGTGGATAAATGGATGTAGGGGAACTGGTGTGGATCACTTGCCTCTTTGCCTATTGGCGCATTTATGTGCTAGGCTTAGGGTAGCATCCGGCTGCAAAACCACCCTACTGTACCTTGAGATAAGAAAAGGGACCACTGGAGGACAACCAAAACAAGACCAGGTCGAATCAATGAGAGAAGGTCGACCTATCAATGGTCATTTATCTGAACGTGATGTATGAAGCTTTCAGGCTTTACTGTGTTACTGTGAGAAGGCCTGCTGACAGGGTTGTCCGTTTTCAGTTTGCATGTATTTGCACTAGTTTGAAAGCATCAAAAATAAAAACTATTTTTAAGCAAAGGACTTGCAATTTATTTTTGTGCTTATCTTTCTCATATTTATTATTTTTTCCTCATTATTTGCCACAAAATGATGTAATTCAAAGGTCTTATTGAGCCTTAATGAATACAGTTTGGATTTATGTGGAATGTAAGTGCAGACATTAGTGCAATTGCTTTGCAAGCGTAAATCTGTTAACATCAGAGATGTTGGGAAACTACCTTGTTGATAAGATGCAAAAAGTCTGGTGGTCTTTGTAATAATGTGAATTAAATCAATTTAAGGATGAATTTTAATGGATTTCTGAGTTATGCTGTTGATTTGTATGGGGGATTGTAATTGCAAAGGGGAAAAATGTAATAGAACATTCCAGTTCTGTATGTGTGTATGCAATATATTGATGATTTAAAAGATTTAAAGATGAAAAACAAAGAGCAAATTTCATCAAAATAATTGAAAGTTGCTGGGTTTAAAGAGAAAATACATTAGACTGCTAATATCGAGTTGGAGAACACTGCCATCTTGTGGAGAATAAAGGAAGCCTTTGAAAGCAGGTGGGGAAGAAGTCCAGCAGAAAACATGGTTATAAACAAGTAAATTCTTTATTATTATGTTCCCTCCTTGTTAACCTTTAAATAATAATTTTTCATAGAAATGTATTCATATCAATATATTAGGTTGCAAATAATTACCCACAAATATGTAACTAAAGAACACTACACAAAAAGTGCCACTGGAAATAAGTCTGACATACACAAAAAGACACAACAGTCCATGCTATGACCAAGGTGATGAAAGAAAATTTTAACTGAACCAGAAGAAACCTTTAAGTTGTATACATTACATTTCACTTTGAATTAAAGAAATGAACAAAATACACAAATATACTGTATAACACACATTTTCAAATGCACTTAAAATGACAACAATCCTGGGCTGTGTTTCTCCCATCAATACAATTCTGTGAATACATAAGAAAAGTACCCCATTATCAAGTAAATATTACACTGAGAGCTTCAAAAGAGGCGTGCTCCTCTCGCTGATGAGTTTTGGCAGTTTGCACAGACAGCTACGTGTTTCCTCTAAAGCAGTTATTAGTCGGAGGAACAGCTTCGCGCTCTGTAAAATGTTGTGAGCGCAGGGCATGCTGTTTGATCCGATGCATGCTGCTGTAAGTAAAAGGCACTCAGCATGGCCTGTAGGCACCCTCCACCCACAGTACACTCATTCTTTGTATGGTGTGGGTGAAGCAACAGTCCTCAAGGTCCACCCCCTGTCACTTCCCTCCTTCGACGGCGAGACAAACACTCTGTAAATACTGTAGTACAGGGATTAACACCTGATGAGGTGTGGTTTAAGCTACTTAATGCGATTTGGTTCTCACATTGGGTGGTGGCAGTGTACTCCAATATACAGTATATGTACCATATTAGAAGCAGTACGTTGAACTTCTTACCACAGGGCTGTCCAGCAATGTGTACTTATAGCTGGATGAGTCACAGAGTCATGGACACACAGCTTTTTGCACATTTTCCTTAATGAATAAAATCCAATGGGCAGCGAGACGAGAGGTGTGAGAGTCATTAGAGTGTGCTACTTTTGGATGGAAGAGTGTTGGCTGCGGGAGATCAGGCCGCCGTCCTCTCCGCAGAGCTGTATCGTCGTACTGAGGTCTCTGTTCTCACAAGGTTGAAGCACGGACCCTTCATTATTCCAGTATTGCTAGGGCAGAGGTATACTGTAAGTTTACACCTACTAACACCACTGTAGGGTCGGTGTGGTGAGCTCCAGTCGTTAAAAGATATGGTGTGTGGTTCAGCACTGGTCCTTAAAGGTTCTGCATGTAACATTTAAGCATCAATACATCATCACCACATCAACTGTGAGACATTATTATAGTTCCTGTAAACAACTGAGACCACTGTGGGAAAGACTAAAAACCCTTATCTTGTAATTTACACTTAATGTGACTGGCTTTGGAGGGAGTTAAAGGCTGCTGGAAAAATCCTCTCTTTTATATTTGTCTTTATTGGAAAGTTAAACCGAAACCAGGGCTGTAAGCAGAAACACTGAGGTCAAGAACTTTTCTTTTGTGCCTGGTTTGGTTTTAATAATACCTAAACAGCAGGTGTATGGTTATAAAATGTGATCATAATAAAAAGGTCTAATTTAATGTATCCTACAAAAAATATATGCTAGCAAAGAAAGGAGGCCCTAACATGTTGTTAGTTAGCTAACTGGTGTTGCAACCTAGCTAGCGAACATGAGTAAACACAGAAACATCAAAAGTTTGACAGAAGTTCAGTCTTTTTTAACGACGTATGATATCCAAATTTTTATCCTACTTGAAGCCAAATCCCCCATCAGCTAGTGTGCAACAACACTAATATATAAACAGTCAAATATGACATTTGTGACCACTGTCTGCCCTATTCTTTTTCGTTCTCTGTCCACTACAGGATACGACATATTGGTCACTGAGCATTTCCCGAGAAGACATGTTCAACACCTAATTTCCACCAAAATTTAAAGTTACATTTAGTAACAAGTTGCTAAAACGCTTACATCCCCCAAAATAACAGAGGACACAAGCTCAGTGTCCTTAATAGTAACTACTTCCATCTTGGCATAGGCAAGACAGAGAAAATGGGTAATGTATTAAGCTTTTAAGCTTAACGACAACATCTTAGACAATGATGTGTAACAGGAAGTTGCTGGCATTGAACCCACAGAGAATTATTGAACTCTTCAGCGGCACTTACCTCTGAAAATTTTTTTTTAGCATCTTTCAGCTCATTGTTTAGTAGGGGTGGGTGAAAATATGATTCATCAGGATGGCATTGCAATATATTGTTTCCCACATTCAATCACTGAGTTCATTAGTAAAATCATCTGAATCGATTCGAAGGGCCGCTGGGCAGGCGCCGTGGATAGCAACATCTTTGTGTGGATACCGAATCGAATTGTGACCTAAATAATCAAAATCAAATCAAATCGTGAGGTTCTTAACAATACCCAGCCCTATTGTTTTGGTTTTTAGACCCACAACAGTACCTGCCCACCAAACAGCAGACAGATAAAGTTAGCAACTAGCTGGTGAAAGCTAAAGTACCATTTATAATTCATAGGAGTTAGTAAAGACCAAATCAGGAGCTAAAAGCAAAGTGAATAATGGCTGGTCAGAAACAGGAGTCCAAATTAACGGTAATTTTGTCCGTATCTGCTAGATTTTGGAAGTGTTTGCTAACATGTTAGCAACATGTGCTACTCAGCATCACCAGGATTCTCAACCAAGGTCTCATATTGTTTACAGTAATCATATTATTGAACCACACTGAACATGACAATGACCTACTGATGTTTGAAAATGCTACACACAGCTCCTCTAGCAGTACTCCTCTCCCTGTGGGTCGGGCAGGTCGTTGAGGTCCAGGAAGATGGAGGTGTTGGAGAGCTTGCGACCGTTGGACGACAGATCCAGCAGCTCCTCGGCGGTGCTCGGCACCGAGCTGATGTACATGTCCCACACCTGCTCCGGAGAGTCCAGCTCCAGCAGCTTCTGCTTGATCTTCAGGTTCTTCTCAATGTTTCTGCGCTTGTGCTTGAACTCCAGGATGGTTTTGGTGTAGCGGTTGATGGTGGTGACTGAGGACGCCATGCAGGCGGTGAAGGAGCTCCACGCCAAACTAAAGGTAAGAGACAAAAACAGGTCGACATCCTGGATAATGTATTCATTTCTAGAGGTAATAAATAAATGAAAATAGGCACTAGATAATATTCCAGGGGCCAGAGAGGGTTAAAAGTAGGAACAAAGGATAATTTTTTTAAACTTAAATTTTTTTAAGTTACTTTATGACCTTGACACAACATGCTTGCTTTCTTGAATAATTATTTAATGAAAACAAGTTGTCTTTATATTTCATTATCTTGAAATAACAATTAGTCTGTCTCAGCATAACAAGCTGTCAAGACCATTTTTTGTGATCAACTAGTAATTAGTGTTTGACAGGGAAACAAAGCCCGTTATCATAAGTGATCATAATGTTTTATTTTCATTTCTTTTTTAATTTTCTTTAGTTTGATTTAGTTTCCTGAGTGGGTATGCTTGTTTCAGCTTGTTTTATTGTTTAAAAAGGTTTAGTTTTAGTTTAGTTGTTTTATTATAATATGGAGGGTATTTGTCAAGGGCAATATTTAAGAGGTTCAGAATAGGAGTTACAATACAAAAACATTGACTACTAACCCTAACCCTAAAGTTATGTAGACATCTGAGTCTCAATAAATATATGCACCAATGCTTCTTGTGTTGAGAGATTTGACCAAATTGACAAAAAATAAAACTAAATTAAAGTAATACTATATTTTTATTTGATTTTATTTAGTTTTGTAAGCACACAATATTGTTTCAGTTAGTTTTTATTTTTATTTGTTAACTGTTTTTTGTTTAGTTTTAGTTAACTATAACCTTACACAGCCCTGACCTCATACCCATCCAACACCTCTGGGATGAAGTGGAATACAGAGCCTTGCAGCCTGGTCCCAAAGGTTGGTGGAAAGCCCTCATAGTGAGTGAAGGCTGTTAAAAGCAGCAGAGTAATGCCTGTGGTGTTGGAATAAGATGCAACAACCACATACGTTTATAATGTTTAGCTGTCCACATACTTTTGTGTAGTATATGTATACTGTAGCTTAACATTATTTTATCATTTATTTGTTTTCTTAATCTTTTTTGATATTAAACTAAATATATTTTGGTTTGGGACAGCTGGGTGGACAACATGTCAGCTGGGAAAATTCAGGAAATTGTGAAGATCTTAATTCTAGATAATATTGTCAATACTCAATATTGCTAATTCCTGTCTAAATGAATGAAGGTAATTAAAGTTGTTCTTCTAAAAGCCCATTCTGTCACTGGCCGGTACCACAGAGTCTTCCTTGTCAAATGCTGTATGTGAACTCACATGTACGACCAACTGTAGTCCCATGTCTGAGGTTTCCAGTCCTCCGGGCCCAGGCTGACAGTCAGCTGGAAGGCTGTGGTGAACATCATGTGGGCCACCATACCCAACAGACCTGCCAGACAGAGAGGGGACAAGAGATGAGACAGAACCTGACATCCTCCTCTGTGGCCAATCCTTGCACTTATCTTTAGTCACCACTTGGTGGCAGTGTTACATTATGCTCGCCTGAATATACATCATTTCCTGTAAATTCCCATTTATACTCCACTACAGAAATATTATAGTTTTTTGTCCCACATTTCTTTCACATATACAGTTACTTTACAGATTAAGATTTTGCATAAAAACACATGATAAGCTAATACAGGGCTTTTCATCTAAAGGACCCCCACTATAGTTACACATTAGACCACTGACCCCTAATTTTAGAGGATTTTATCTTAAAGGATCTCTCTCTTTTTTTGAAGATAATGTCTTTGAATAACAATCAATAAAATGACCACCACTACAGTACTGCTTCCCTTGTTGTTCCAATTCCCCAAAAATGTGATAAAAGTTTTGCTCTAAAACCCACTCAAGGACCCTTGTTTGTGTGTGTCTGTATGTGTGTGAGAAAGAGGTTCTTATATGTATTATTTTCAAAAAAGCAAGATCTGAGGTTTAATAGAAGCAAACAGACACACCTCCACCATTAGTTTCAAAGGTCATTAAAACCCTTTCAAATGACCCCTTAAGAAAAAGTTTTCACATGCTGTATAACTAATAATAGCTGAGCGCAACTTTTATTTATAGCGAATATATAGATAGGAGACTGTCACATGTGTGTACTGAAAATAATAATAATCTTGCCATTTTAATGCTTATTCTGTATATATATATATAGTATTTTCTAACATTTTCAGGACTTCGTTCCTCGCTCTCTGATGTATCTGACGCCTCTGGTTCTTACATGGAAGTTACCTGAATAAAATGTTGGATTTCTCTGGGTTTGAACATTGCTGGAAACATTTGAGATAATGTAAAGTAAAATGCACAACTACATATATAACATAGGTCTAGTGTTTCTAGACGTTTAAATGCAGAAATGTTATATAGTATGTCTTTAAATAACTGTTAGAGGACTGAAGACATTGAATGATCCAATATTTCAGAAAATGAAAAGTCTTTCACCTGTAATGGAGTATTTTACATTGTGGGATCGCTATGTTTAGTTTCTCTTCCTCCACTGCTTGTTGCCAGCTAATGTGAGTTAGTCACATTTAATATGCATAATGAGTCATACCTGGCCCACCTTTTATGGGAAAAGTGCATAACAGTGAGTCTACACCTTGGACCCAAGACTGCACCAAAAGCTTAATTTGCAGCAGAAATTATGTCAGCGTGCAGCCAAACAACCACAGATAGTTAGTTAGTTAGGTTCTTTGGTTGTTAAGGGCATTCTTATAAACTCAGGATAAATAAATCTTGCAGTAAATTTCACACAACAATTTAGATAAATGATTTATTCATGCATAAATCACAAGCCTCTGCCTATGACTTACAAATAGGATCAACTGGTGCAGTGGAAGATACTGAGGGATAAATATGCTAATCATCCAATCTGAGTGTTTTTGTTTGTGAGAGAAAAAGAGGCAAAGAGAGAGACAGAATTGACTGTTTGCTAAGCCCCGCGTCCCCCGCGGTTGCTGTTACCAAGCTTTCTGCTTTCGCACGGTGCAGTTTATAATGATGAGGGAGGCGGATTTATCACTCAAAATTCATTGTGATTTTTTGAAACAGTGGGTCCTTGATTTCAGTAGACAGAAGCAGACTTCTCATTCCCAGACAGGGACTGTTGATTTTGTGGGCTGACAGCAAGCAGATTTTCTCAGCCCTAGTTAGCTAAAGAAGAAGAGTTGTTTAAAAACTCCGGCTGTGCGGTGGTTTTCCTTTGTGTTTTTTTTTTCAGCTGACTTTTTTAAAAACCAGAACCCTGCAAACATCTCCTAAATGTGCACATGATGGCTACATAATGCTAAGGGGCTAATGCTAATGCTACATGTCTCAGGTAAAAAGTCAGCAGGCTATCCTAAGCAACTGATGCACGTATAAGACATGTAGCTCATCGACATAATAAAGATGGACGAAAGTGAAGCCAATGTGTGAATAATGTCACCAGAGGAAGATGGCGGCAGCTGTATCTGGGATATTTTGGCTTCATTTTTGGAAGTGTAAGTAAAATGTTATTTGTTCTAACATAGGCCTAACCCCGGTGAAGAGAAAACTTGAGGTTTATATGTCGTGTAATGTTGGCTGGGGTTGCTGGAATATAAACTTCTCTTTAGGAACAGGACAGAGCTCCAAACATTAGCCTACACTCTGATATAGCATCTTGACTGGCGGGATTTTTTCCTACGTAAGCTGTAACATATTTAGCTACTTGTGGTCTTGGGCTTCGGAATTAATGCTAGCTTCCTAATTATAAGCTAGTTAGCCAGACATGCTAACATGCTCCAAATGATCCGTTCCTTACAATTTTATTCTTGTGTTTTTGGTTTCGGGAAGGCAAAGGAATACACTACCCTTCAGAATCTTTAAATATGGACTATCACTGTAACTACAGCCCCATACACAATGTTTTTACATGTGGAGAAATCCACAGGAATGAGAGTACAACGTTAGTTAATTTAAGGGTTCTGTTCTGTCTTCCTGCTCCATTCAGAGCTGCTCATTGTTCCTTTTTCAAGTACACTTCTCCTCGTCTGATTTTTTCTGATCCCCTTCACTTATTTTTTCCTTTTGTGTCTGTGTGGTACTTTTTTCCCCCCCGGTTATGTTCCAGATCTCAGCGCACAGGCTCTGGGCTCTCCTCACGCTGGACTTCTCAATGCCTATAAAATAGGAACAGGAATAAAAACCAGCATGTGTAGCCTACCAATCCGATTACTACATAAACCCCCCAAATCCCTGGACTGAACAAGAACGCACCAGATTCAGCACCAAACACCTAAATTCCCATCTCATCCCTATCAGTGCTCATGTTTATTCCTAAAGATCTCCCAGTGCAATATTATCATAATGTTATGCAGATCAGAGGAAGCTTTGTGTCAGGATGAGCGGAACAAATCTGAGATTGGAGTCTTGGCACGTTCTGTCATGTGGAAATTATGCATGTTCTGCTTACACAAGGTCCGATTATCATATGAAGTCAATAAGTGTCAATTCAGGTTGTTTATTTTTAGTGCCACAGCACTTAACAAGGACACACAGCATGATAGACGTGGCATTCCTTACACTGTTGAGCTGTATTACAGAGAGAATGGGGTCTAGTGTCAGCAGTAAATATCGCCATGCTCGACACCAGCCACTGGAGGGCAGCAGGGTTAACTATGAATGAAAGAATGAATAAATGAATGAATAAGAGAAAAGTTTTTGATGGAGTTCTGATCTATAAATAAATACATACCACAGTGCCCGACTGTCTCTTTCCTTTTTCTTTTTGTTCTGTTTTATTAAGACATGTTGGGCTCAATCCTCAATGAAAGCTTTATGATACATGTTATGTCTAAATTATCATGCTTAGAATACCAACTTTTATTTCGGTTCATTTTTGTATTTTATCTATTTGATCAAAAAATTAAGATTGACTAAGGGTACAATAGTTAGCTGAGAGACTATATTTTTCAGTCTGGATTCCGGACCCACCTCATTAAAACCAATCTGATTGATGATTAAGATAAGAAAGCAGGAAAAAAACACATTTCTGCTACACACAGTTACTTTTTTAAATTAGTAAATTATCAAAGAAGGGAAAGAATCCCTGAACTGGCAACAACTGCATGTTACTGGAAACAAGCCATCGGAAATAGACATCAGAGTTTCGCAGCCACAGTCGTTTTTCCTACAAGCTTGTAACGAGCGAGCAGTATTCAGTTGGTTGCAATGTGCAACTTCGCTACTAGCTGCAACTACACACTGGTCCTTTAAAGGCCCCATATACTCTGTGCAATAACAGAGATCTTGCATATTCACTGCACTGTGGAAGATAAAAAACTTGATCACAATCTGTGATATCACGTTTTTGGCATGTCAGTGCGATGAATGTCTGGTGAACTGTAATACTACTGTAAACATAAGATTTACTTTACTTTAAAGACACAGTAAAATAAAATAAACAGTCCCTACACCTATGTGTTAAATTTGACTTTTTTCTTACATTATGCTAAATATATATATAGGAGATTTTTTTTATTATGTTCATATCAAAATGCCTCTCCTGTCTCATCCTGTAAAATACTGCTGATGACACATCTTGAAGGCGGGGGGCATATACATACATACATATACATTTATTTCTCCCTCCTCTTCCTCTTCCTGGTCTGATGCTGTGGGTGAGAGAGGAGTGTGCATTGAGGCCACAGCTCCTTATCGTGCTGTGTTTGCTAAGCCATGCCACTTTGGAAGGACTTGATTTAAATCCCTCTTGTAATTATACCCCGGCCACATGTTTGTTTACCTCAGGAATAGTATGTTAATGCTGATAGGCGTGTAGTACAAATGTTGTTGCTTGGCAGTGGAAATCTTTAAAAGGAATGTTGAAAAAGTGCAAAAAAAGGGCAGCATATATTAGCAAAATGATTACTGATACAGGCAGAGATGGACCCTGGGAAATTCTGCGAAGCTAAATTAAATTAAGCTAACAGAAAATGAAAAAAATAACCTTAATGTAAGCTGCAGTCTCACAGCAAGCCGCCATCCCTCCCTCCCCCCTACCCCAGTGAATGGCATTTTAGCCTCTTAGCCTCACCTAACTGCAACCTACCACCTACCCAGGTAAATACAGGCTAAACTAACCAGGATGTAAGATTTCTCAGTTATTGCTGACACCACAGCAATTTACCTGTTGGCACACATACATACTGGGGAGTGCACCAAATTTAATAGAATGCCATTTATTGCAGAACTTTTTTCTCTTTGTATTTCTTCCACACTCCTTTATTTCTTTTTCCTATCATGTACTCACACGCTACCTCTTCATGCGCTCTCATCATCCCCCAGATGATTGACAGCTATAATAAAAGTTAATCTGGTCCCTTGTATTGTTCCCCTGCACCTCATTATCATAACCACTCTCAATCTATTCAGGCCATTAAAAACAGAAACAACTTTTAAATGCCTTCCTTATTTTACAAGCACACTAAACCCCTTTGTGATAAGCTTGGGAAGCAGTTAAAAAGCCAGCAGGCTGGGACAGACGCTATAAAAAAATGGCAAAATGAAAATTTCTTTACCCAAGGATAAAAACTACTTTCAGTGTGAACCTAGCACGGATCATCCCTCCGTTTGCGCAAACAGCTCACTTCTCCAGACAGTGAGTCACGTATAAATAAAACATAACGCATGTAGACAGGGATGACAGGTTCAGATACTGTTCGACTGAAAGTTAGAACGGGCAAAATGCCAGGGCAGGGCCGTGAAAGCATAACTCATTCAAGCTCGTGTTTTAGAGGCATCAGCAGCAGGAGAGCATGCCGGGTTCAACTCCTGTCAGCTGAAGACGAAAAGATGAGGACGCAACGAGTGGACGGCTGAAAGGCGGTCAACAATTCCTTTCTGTTGTGATACACTGACACTTAACATGGTGTCAGCTCAATATAAAACCTATGCTAGATGTAGAATGCACTGAAACCCAAATGTTTTCTGGCAGTTTTCCTTACCCCGTGATGCTGGGATGTGGAGCAAGAGCTGAAGTTTTGTTAAGGATATTTGTACAAGGTTGCTAAGGACCTTGTAAGATTTCCAGAAATTGTCTGCCAAGTCAGAAGTGGCAAGTGGGAGCTAGTTAGGTATACCTCTGACCTTGTTGCCTGTTCTTATTTGGATGCCAAAAATTATTTGGGCTTCTGTACAAAAGCCCTGTCCAGTTCTAATTTAACGGAGGAACCTTCATATTAAAGCTGCCCTAATCAATATTTTTCACACAGATACTCACAGACACAGATAATGGAGCCATTATAATATAACCTGTTTCATCCTCCATTCTAGTTACCTCCACGATTACGAAAATGAATCCAAGGATGTGACTGGATTGTTGGATTTCACATCAGTAGTGAGGTGACAACAAAAGTAATATTGTAACTAATTAACAATAGTACTGAAATGTATTAGTAGTGAATTACACTACTAGTTACTAGGGAAAGTTATATTATTACTTTAATAATATTACTAGTAATGAGTTACTGCCCAACACTGATATGATAAACAAAGAGAATTACCTCCCGACTTTCTGCAGTTAGCTTTCAAGCTATAGAGCGTTTTAGCTTCTTTCAGTTCATTTGTTTTGTTTTTACAGCCTCCAGTTTTACTGTTTCGGTTCAGTCTCATCAACCTCATTTCCAGCAGCAGCAGGCATCAGCTCATACACTGCCCGGCACCAAACAGCAGGCAGACAAAGTAAGCTGATAGCTGGTGAACTTAGTGGACCATTTTGTTGCTAAAGAGATATAACCCTCAGGAGTTGGCCGAGACCAAAACAGAGCCAAAAGAGATTGAATATTGGACTTGCATGACTCCAAATGAATACTAATGCTGCTCTAGCTCTGCTGGATCTGCAGATAGTTATCAACCAAGGTGATAATATGTAAATTTCTACTGCTAGCTCTACTTCCCCCAAGTGGCCAAAAGAAACCAAGTAATGCAGGTTTAAGGTACACAAATTCTTGAGCAGTTGCCAAAAAATAAGTAAAAAAACAAATGAACAAGCATCATGAATAACAAAAGCAGTAATAACTTGAAAACAGATAGATATATGCTAATGAGCCAGTGTCTAATTATTAGGCTTAGCTATCTGAATATGCATACTGAACAATTACCTTATGAATTGTTCCTGATTAGCTCTGAATCAGCTGCTAAATGATACATAGTAAATGGACTGCACTTACTTTATCACACATTTGTGCAGAACACTTTACAGTGCCACCCACGCACACACACTCATAGTCACACACACTGCTCTGTCCTTGCCGAAGGACACGTCAACATCAGGCAATATATTTATTGACAGAAACTAGGCTTTTGTAAAGCAGAAGATATGTATTACAATAATGTAACATTCTGTATGTGTACTAATTCGCTGGCTAGCATCTAGTGTGGCTGTTTAAAATTCTGCTCACTATGTAAACATGTATGAATTATGTATGTACAATTCTACCAAAACTTGTGAGGTATTCGTGATGATGCTTTACACGTGACACAAAAATGGCAACATTAACTGAGGGCCCTTATTCAATTGAAAGACCAAAATATGTCTGTGGCTCTAAATCCCTAGCCCATTAATGCCTTTTGATGATGTAAACCATTCAACCTAAGTCATAAATATATCATTTGGTTTTTACAAAAAGGCTTAGTAATTTCCTAAATCAACTGGGCACTGTAGATTTTTGTAAACGTTACATGAAAAGGCAGAAACATCAATTTGTTGGGGACTATTTTTGGCTGCGGATGAATATATAAAAGTAGTGTACTTGAGAGTATTTACTGCAGCAGGATGGTGTGTGCGGGATTAACTCAGAATTCCTGATTTGGTTCTTGAATTATATGTACCTCAGTGTTTCCTGATATTAAAGCAGACATGTCATTTGCACTGAACTGCACAACAAGAACAGACAGATGGATGTCACATGACACTAATGAGGAACCAAGCATTTAAAACAAAGTTTGAAGGATATTTAACCAGTAAGGGCACAGCCTCTTACTGCTCCACATGCCAACTAGATCAAAGGGGACTTACTCTGACTCTGTACTTAGCATTTCTCAGACTAGGAGAATCCCATTTCTAACTCCAAGATGATCAATATGCAACCTCAGGCTCAGCAAGGTTTTAATATCCCGTGTTTCTGAAAAAGAGTTTCTCCAAATCTTTGTCAATGGAGTCAGAAGTGTGTCACACAAAATTCTCAACTGTGTTTGCTGATCATTCTTTTATAGACCCAAAGCTGAAGACTTCAAAGAAGATAATATTTTCTGATCTCACGATAGTTCGAGGAATATGACAGTGACTTCACTCTCCTTACCTAAACCTAATAAAGACATAAAGGGAAATTGTGTTGCTCGTCATCCTTGGTCTTATTCCCACATGTCCATTATGACTTTTGGCCACAATCAACACCTCAAACATTTGTCTTTTAGACTGACTAAAAGCAAACAGACAAAATGCTCCCCTGGAAATTGCAGGAGCTACTGTAACGAACTGAAGAACTGAGAAGACCAATACCATTCTCTGCTCCCTGTAAAGAAGGTTTCTGTCATGGGTAACTGTGCTCACTGACCTTCTCTGACAACTCATGCTATAAGCTGGAGACGCTGTTAAGAAGTGCTGGGCAGATGGATAAACTGTTGTTTATCAAGAACTCTAACCTTGCGAGGCAGTTGGACTCGCAAGGTGTGATGGCCAAGAAGCAACCATTCATTAAAAAACAAAGGCAGTTTCCATGAAGGTTAGTATAGGTTAAAATGAATGGTGCTAACATCGATGGTATCAAAACTGGGGAGTATTTCTTCATTAAAAGAAGAAGAAGCTTTTCTCAATGAAAAAGACATTTTCGCTCTTCTCCCAACTGGCTTAAGTAAGAGTTTGACTACGTTATATGGTTGGTTGATCTGATTGGTTTACCCGTGATAGACGACATTAGATGCATTCAATCTTGCATTCAGTTCAAGGTTAACAAGTGCACAGAGATTCCCTCATCACTTTCCACCACAGGGCTGACTCCATGCACCCAAGAATTCAGGCTATTGTAGAACAAAAAGGCAACCTTACTGGAACTACCAAGGTGTTTCTAATAAAATAGATACTGTGCATATGGTCATCAAAGAACATGTTCAAAGTGGACCCAGGTTTTGCAGGGGCTACAATTATTCAGCCTCGGGCTCTTTCAGACATTTCCTGAACCTAACCTGTCAAGTCACTAAAATGCTGCGAGTCATTGCTGTTGAACTGAGCATCTTTCCCTGCTGATTCACTGCCCAGAGTGTGGTGGTCGGGATCATTTTCACAGAGTGGATTAGAGAGAAGGTCATTGTTAAGTCCTCCACTGAGAGAGGAAGGCAGACTGCAAACCGACTTCTTCTCAGGGGCTGAGAGGCTGCAACTGGCCTGGAAATGTGATTGGCCAAGTGCCTGGAACTAGAACAAAGGACTCAATTGTTTTAAGCTCTAACTGAAATGAATATTTTATCTAGTGGAAATAAGGTTAGCAAGTAAGGTTATATAGTCCTCACTTTCTGGGTGAAAGCTAGTTAACCTAGCATGCTAGCTTCCACTTTCCGAGTGGAATAACAAATTACCAGGCGGATGGGTCCTCAGGAGTGTTGAACGACGTAAAGACAATCATCTGATAGCCGATGTGGGCTGGTTGAAGAAGGTGAAAAAACCTCTCGTATTTACTGACATTCTGCAGTACCCACTCAAAGACCTAAAGCCTAAACACAGCTGCATCCTGCAAACATCCTGCAAACTGTTTTATCCTCTTATGAAAACTGGTAACGTATTGTTAAAGTTTTCTCACACAAAAAGTGAGGAGAATTTAAATTTCAGTTCCCCTTCGACGAAAACAAAAAAACAACATGGGGCTTTTGGATTAGATTCATTTAACTGGACTCCATTTGACGGCAAAGACAGCAAATACTGTGACGGCACTCACCTGAGAGCACAGTGAATATGGCAGCGAAGGCATTGAGCTTGAGGCCGTCGATGACATTGCCAAAGTGACACACCTCTATGGACATGAGGATGCCTCCGGTGGCAAGCAGGAGGATGTACAGGCACTCGGCAACAATGCACAGCCACAGCACTCCTGCAGAGAGAATTGGTTATGAAAAAGAAATAGCAAAGAGGAAAGAAAAAAAGACATATTCATGTTGTGGGGGACGAGGTGAAACACGGTTGAGTGAGTGATGGAGCGGGTGCAGTGATAGGAATTGAGAGAGAAGAGGGAAGGGGGGTGGGGAATTGAGAAAGAATATGGGTAAGCAAGGGCGAAGGGGGAGGATAGGGACGGGGAAAAGAAGGAGGAAGGGGGGGAGAATGAGTCGGGAAAGGTGGATCATTGACCCCGTCACCCATATCATTAACCTTCACAGTCAGAGAAAGGATATATGATCCATCAAGAGACGTACAACATCCTGAGCTCTGGTCGGTGTGCGTGGTGGGACAAAATATCAACGGATTAAAAATCCTGCAAATGTAAGATGTGGTGTAATTGCATATATCACCCAAGGGCAGGTAGTTATTGTGTAGTTAATTAATCACAAAGTGGACTAAAGTAATATGTCTGTTACCAAAAATATCCCAGTATGAATTATGAATTAGATATGATGAGTTATATCCTTCAGCTAAGTTAGTTTTTTTTTTACCTGCTCTGAATTGAATACTACACTTCAGTAAAAGATTTATTTAATTAAATGTATAATAGGAAAAAGGGGATTACGGAAAATGTTATTAGAGGACATTTAAAGTCATAAAAATTAAGCTCATTTCGTAGGAGATTTTCCTCTCATTTTTCTTTGATAGATCTTATATTTGAATCATATGATACCAGAGCGGCATGCAGATGAAATTGTAGCAAAAGAGGCTGATGCTCTCAAGTGAATGTAAAGCGAACGGGGTCATTAGGGATGCACACTGAGAATCTGTTTTAAATGGTCAGTACCAACATTTAGATAAGCTCCTGGACAAATGATACTGCTATCTGTATTTATGTAACGTTACATAAGAAGCTGACAGGGCAAAACGTTCAAAAGTGTGGGCTCACTTTACTAAATTGAACGACAATTCAACAACTCAGGAAACAATTTTACTTATTTCTGCAAAAACGTAATAATAAAAAATCTTAAAATCTTTTTATGGTGTCTTTCTGTTTATTTTTTGCAGTAATATCAAAGAGTATTGATAAGTATTGGTATCGATAAGCAGTATATTGCTATTGGTGTCTATTAAATCCCAATGATACCCAGCCCTAGTGGTTGTGCAAAACCAGGACACCAAACTGTGTAAATGCACCGGCTTCCAAGATGATCTGAAGATTTCTTTATTTCAATAAACACCACACAAATATAGATGTTTTTAAAGAAGTTTCTTAAGTGGCTGGGCACTGTAGTTTTTAGCGAACATTTCTCAAGCAGAAGGAAATATCACATTTATTAGGAACAATGTTGTGCCTTATTAGTATTTTATTATTATTACTGATTGGTGGGTCCGTCCACCACTTTGTTCCAGATTAAAATATCTCAACACCAATTGAATGGATTACCATGAAATTTGTTGCAGACATGTACGCACTTTGTACGCATCTAGAAACATCATCAGGTTAAGATTTCAGGTCGTCTAATACCATGTTATTTAACCTAATATCTTCACAATGAATTACAATCTGCTGCACTTTGCTGATATTTTGTAAGTTTGAGCCATTTACCATTACCATTTAACATGCTAACACGCTCAATTTATTTATTCACAGGAGAACGCAATACTTTTTCATTGTGTTTTTTTTCTCTTTTCGTGGGGTCTATTGTTGACACTAAGAAAATAATATTACCCAGCCTTAACCTTTAAGGATAACCTTGTGAGGCACCGGGATGGTAATGTGGCATATATTTAATCCACCAGTCAGCACTTATTTTAGTGAGAAATAATAATTATTAAAACAGTCCGTCTGTCATTCCCAAGGTCTTCCATTCACGGCGAGGACTGTAACGAGTTGAGGAGACAAAATCGTCGAAAGGCGTATCTTTATGGATTAGAATTGACAGTCAGACTGTGGACATATGACACACTTTATCTTGTGCTCTAGAGTTCCGTGTTGTTACGGACACATAAAGGCATTGTTGAAATGCCATATTTCTTCAACAGAGATTGACGCAGTATATTCCCTGAACACAATGAAAAACAAATATTTTTATATGCAATAGTGCACTGAACTGAGAATATTAGTGAAAGAGCAGCTTTATTGGTCATGATTGAAATAAAATTTCGAAGTTAGAAGTTTGAAGTTCACCCATGATAGCTGGTGATAGACAGATGGTTCATCCTATCACCTGCCAAGAATTTTTTTTGTAAACACCTGCCCAACAGTTTTCAACAACATTGTCCCTCATGGTTCTTTGTAACAAACCATCTGGCACAGTCTGGTTACTTCAAGGATTGGGACATCATCTTCCTGACTCACAGCCAGAAAAATGCTGACAGGAACATTGCCCGGAAAATGTGTGGATGACGCAGCTACTATGCAGCTTGCTGTAAATTGACTTACAGAAATAACTGATTACAATACTTTGATCAACAAGCTGCTCCTGGCAAACTCTACTGCACCTATGGGATGGGGGGGTGCATACGTAATTGATTCTGGAAAAAAAACGCCTCCCAAACATAAAACGGCCAACAGGAACACAATGTGAGACTGAATAATGAGGTGAAACAAGATGCCAACTCACAGTCTGATTATCAGACTAAAGGCAGAGAGTGAAAAGCAGCTCAGGAGGAGGGCTGAGGGAACTGATTAAAGGGCATGAGACTGTAGGATTTGCTGCAACACCACTTATTAACTAACAGCTCCACTGTAATGAGGAATGATTTGGTCTTGGTATTACACTGTTGATCACATTAGAGAAAAAAAGGAAGATTTATTTGTTCAAAGCAAAGATACTATAAGCTAATGCCCTGGTGGACTTGCATTACAAGTAACCAGCAGTGAGCCCACTGATGTGGCTTCAGATGTAATGTAAGCTTAAAGATAAAAAGAAAGAGAACACGCGGCTCTCGGAGGCTGACAGATGTTCCGACTGTCTGACTGGTATTGCTGGTATTTCATCACTGTGACAAAAGATGTTAAATTTCTTCTCTAAAATGTCCACTTCAGTCAAAATGGTCACATGCTCATGGTAAGCAGCTTACTTAGAGTAAACAGCCCTTACGTTGAGAGAGCTGAAGATGTCAGGCCTTAAAAAAAGGTTGGTTTTCCTGCTCTGAGCAACTTCTCCACCTCATGTGAAAAATGGCGTTAAGTGCTACGGAATGAATGGTGGACTGGGATGTACAAACTGTATGCTTACCTCTTTCATTTGAAGGTGCAACATAAAGGAAACTTCTGCATTTTTCACCTGGAAAAGATTACAAATGAGACATTTCATTGACACTCAGTGGCAGTAAATTCACCGCTGCAACACCCTGATAAAGTGAAACAGGGGACTTCATTAGTATTCCATCAGTTTTCCAGACTGAGGCAGAGAATCACAGGTGACCTATTTCACTTTGTGTGCCAAAGATAAAGCTATAAAGCTGTGAATGTTAAATAAAATTTGAAAAACACCATTTGATCCAATCTGTGTAGGGATTTCCTTTCGTTTAATAACAAGTTCTGCCACTTCCCCCCCTCCTGCATGTCAGAATCTCCCGCCTCAAATTTAGCTTGTATGGTCTGGAGACAGACACAGACACTGTAGCCACATATTCCTAGATCCATGCAGCTCTCAGCTGGCTTATCTGGAACTGGCCCATGAATCAATTGAAGTGCTTTCACACACTGTAGTATATGCTGTAGGTAGAATAAAACATCCATCTGAAGTGGATATAAGAAGAATTTAATCTTGCTTTGTCCATGACACAATAAAACAGAGCAGCAATGGCTGGTCCTTTAATGGACAGAAAGTTAATCAGAAACTACTTTGATCAGATTTTAAAACAAAGTAGCAACAGTCTCTGGGTTGTGGAAGATGAAGATGCAGCTTTCCTTACTCTTGTATGATACTGAACTAAATATCTTTGAGTTTTCAGATTGATATTGTTAAACTTGGAAACAGTAATAAAACGGATCATCTTCTGGACCTTATCCTCATCCTCACTTTATTAAAACCTTGCTATGAAACTCCTGCATGTAATATTCTCTGGATGAACACGAAAACCTGCTTTTATTCTCAATACTGATGGCCAGGTGTTAAGATATAGGATTATGCGTTTCTGATGATATTTTTAATCTAACTTTCAAATTTTTTTCTGAGACTAATCCCGAGATCTGCTCTGTAGTAAAGCAGGATTACATTTCTTTTTTTCCTTTTTTTTTTTTACGGAATATGGTTCTAGAAGTAGTACTTATTTTTATATTTTATTTATCCAGTAGATCGACGTAGGTCTCCGTGGCGCACCTCTCAGCGCGCACAGCCCGTGCGCCCTGCTGCGCTCTGGTCCCAGCTCCATCCCGGCACCTTGCTCTACAAACTTACCGGTCATGTTGATGTTCTGCTCGCAGGAGAACCAGATTCCGGTGTGAAACTTCCTCATCACGTACTTATCCTCGCCGGTCTCCCAGATGTACTGCACCAGCCGCGTGTCGTTGAGGTTGGAGCTGTTGAACCTGATGCAGAACGACTGCTTGGTGGTGACCGGGCCGGTGCAGAACGGCTTCACCACTTTCCGCGTCCCCTCGCACCAGTAGCTGGTGGTGAGAGCCGACACGGCCAGGAACAACGCGAGGAAGTTCAAGGTGAGAGCCAGCGATGCTCTCCGCCGCCGGTCTATCCCCATAACGGCGATCGGAGGAGTGAAGACGCCTAACTTAATCCCTCGTTTTGTATGACACCGGACTCTGGCGAGTTCTCCTCCTCAAATCATCATAATCCGGTTATTCCCGTTAATTTATCCGCGGCTAATTATCGTGACGCGTCTGGCCCCTACAGTGCGCCTCTCACATCTGCTCCTCCAGCGGCTGACTCTCTCATTTTGTAGGCTGCCCCCCCACCTGATACACCCCCTTACACACAGACACAGACACACACACACACACACACACACACACCCTCTCAGCCTCATGTCACTGAGGAGATGAGCAGCGGAGGGTTCTTGATGGAAAAATCTGAACATAAAACTCCAGAAAAAAACATTCAGCGTCAGAAAATGATGTTTTCCTGAGAACCATCTTATGTCAGAGGTCCTGCTGTTTCATTGTTTCCAAAGCAGCTGGACTCCCTTCAGGAACACCTTGAAACAAATGATCATAATGATGCAGATCACTTGCGTCAAGGCTAATAATGACTCTTATTTTGAAAAAAATAGGAGAAGAAGCAAAAAAACTGTGTGCACTGAAAACAGGTGGCATCCCACTGGCAGGTTGGTTTGACAGTTAATAAAAATGATTTCTTCCAGTGGATTTTTATAGATATAGGTTTAATTTTCCAGACAGTTTCCACCACAAACGCAAGTGCCTATAAAAAGTATTCAACTCCCTTTGAGCTTTTTAAAGGGCCACTCCAGCCTTTTATTATCGCACTTCTATGAAGTCGGGGGACTCAGAAGAGACATTAAAAACAGAATGGTCTAAATTTGAATTGGCTATACAGCCAACATATACTGACTTTCAGTCAGGATCCTACATTTCCCATAATGCAACCCATAATATCTTTTCTTAGGAAACTTCATGCCCTTAGTTTGTAATGCAATTTTCTGTTGTCTCCAAGCCCAAACTGAAATGACCCTGATGAGATCACTATGACATCATCAGAGTCATTTTCTAGCTTCACCAGGGCCACAGAAGATATTAGTAGGATATCTGACGTTTATGTTTTATTGTTTTACAAAACTGGATCACAGTAGATTCATTAAGCAGTTTTTACAATGATCAACAGAAAAACATCAACAAATCTCTTCAAATATCTAAATAAAAAACAGATATAAAGGACATACTGCTATTCAAACCCTTTTACCACACACCTAAATCATCACTGGTGCAAGGTTTTTAGAATGTAGAAATTTTAAAAGGGGCTGAGTATACAGGCCCTTCATGTGAGGTGGCTGATTGACGCACAGTATGCTGACTACAAAACTGAGGTATGAATAATGGTTATTTGGGGCACAGACTGAGTGGGACTAATAAAGTTAGTTTTGAATCATACATCAGTAATAGCCTAACTTTACGCATGATCCATGATAATGAAGATACAGAAAGACAAAAATGCAACACATCTGCTCCCTAAAGTTGAAACCCCTCTCTGAGTCATCAGCTACATCAGTGTTACTCTTTTAAATCTCTGCACCTCCACAGACCAAACTCCATTTAAAAATCTGGTACTTTAAAACTAACATGCTAATGGACAATCTCAAGGGCTTCTTAAAGTTGAGAGCGTCTCTGAGTCATCAGCTACATCAATGTTACTCTGTTTAATCAAAAAAACTAAAACACCTCTGTAAACCAAACTTCATTTAAAAATCGGGCATTTAATACTAACATGCTGACAACCACATCTGCGTCATTAAGTTGAGAGCTTCTCAGCAAAGAGATATGTCTCAAAAATAGCAAAAATAGAATATGGACAATATTTAAGAGACCCACCAAAATCTCACAAACCATGTTTTCAGGGGAGCTCATGTCTCATTAATCTCTCTTTGATAAACTATGACCTTTGTATCTCCCTTAATTTGTTTTGCTACATGCTCTGTGGAACTCGTAGGTGGGGGGTGGCTGCACAAAGCACAGGCCTGTGACACTGGAGTCCTGCATCTGCTTTATCTTTTTCTAACAAGTGCCTAAACAGAAACATCCATCATGCTTCATTTGCCACTATATTGGATTTAAAGAGCAGATATTGTCAGGAAAACAAATTAAAAACACGTCTTTGAACATTTGGCAAATACATTCATTAAAAGGTTTTCTCACTATGCTGACAAAGAATGTAATTCTGCCTGCATTATATTTCTCTCACAGCATATTTGCTGGTGCTAATAGGTATAAGAGACTGAAAATAAACTTCTGCTAGTAAGATGTATTGGAAGATAAAGACTAGATGACTGTCTGGTTGAGTGAATTTGTGGATAAAACTGAGAATAAAACATGGAATTAAAGGTCTACTGTGTACCATTTAGGAGGATCTATTGACAGAAATGGAATATAATATTAATAGGTATGCTTTCATCAGTGTATAATCACCTGAATATGCAGTCATTGTTTTTTCAATTCCTTAGTATAGCAGTTTATATCTACAGAGGTAGTGGGTCTTCAATGGATCCGCCATGTTGAACCACCGTGTTTCTACAGTAGCTCTAGATCTAGCTTAGTTTTCTGTGAGTTGTGTGCCCACCATAGTTTCTCCTACAAAATTGGACGGTGATAGAGCTGTATTCAGTTTGGTTGCAAATCTGCAACTTCACTGCTAGACGGCATTAAACCTCTCTCAACTGTATTTTGCATATAAAAGGACATATTTGGACTTTAAAATCATACTATACAAATCCAAGTCAGCTCAGCTCCACTGAGGATTTATGTGACTGATGTTAGAAACCTGGATTAGAGTATAATAAAAGAAGAAAGGCGTATATATACTGCATGTTTTTTAAACGTAACTTTCTCCCCAGTGATTTTTTTCTTTTTTTTCTGAATGTGAACCCAGAAACCCAAACCAGGGTAGCTGTCACCAAATATAAACATTTCCTACATCTGTTTATTTATTTGGGGCCATAACATCAGGGACCTCTTGCAGACCCCCCCCCCCTCCCCATGAAAGGAGAGAAAAAATGACTGCTGACATCGAAAGTTTATCACTCCACAAACAGACAGTTACCACCTCCATGTAACTGCTACCAGGGGAATAGCTCTGCTGAGGTCGGGTCAGGGTGGGCAGGACAGCTTTCAATCAGGGACAGAGGCACCGAGAAATCCATCATCCAACTGCTAATATGTGGGCCGAGTTTTATATTCATACAAATATTCTGCTTCTATGAATGTGTGTGTGTGTGTGTGCTTGTCTGAGGATATTCAGCGCACTGTGATCTCCATCAGTAATTTCCTCTGACTACATGTGGTAGATATGAATAAGAGAGAAAAATGGTGTGTGTGTGTGAGTGACATGAGGGTGTGTGTGTTAGAAGGTGGCTGTCGAGGAACTGCAAACGTTTGTCCCCTGAGATTAAAAGTCATCATTCTTTCCTCCTTGCCTTCCCCCTTCTTCTGACCTACACCACCCTGTTGCGCGCACACACACACACACACACACACTCGCAGTATCAGTGCAGCAAGTTTCATGCTGGCTCTGCCCCCAGAAAGCGAATACAATGCGTCAATTTCAGCCCCCTTCACATTCTTCCCAGCGTCGAACGAGAATCATAATTATTATCAGTGATGTATGCACTGCCTCTGCTTCCCATCACATCCAACATATCCTCACTCTGTGTGTGTGTCCCACGGGGCACCAGAGATAATCAATAGTGGGTTACAGTGTCCACAGTGCCTGGATGTGACACACACATTGTGTGAGCCTGCATCCTCAGGCCTGTTATCCTGACTTAAGGCATGCTTCTCTGTCACCTTCAGGCTGATCTATACCGTTACTGTGGAGGAGGAAGGGCTCACTTGGACTGGAATATTTCTCTGCTGAGGGGCCAGCACTAAAGCTTTACTCCTTTTCTGCCCCAAAGCCAAAGAAGAAAGACTCCCAAGGACGGCTGGTGCGATAGATTCTCATCACACGCTGATGACCTTGCGGTGGCCCGGATGAGCAATGGAGGCAGAGAGATAAATATTGGAGATGTTTCATCTTTGCAGGAGGGCTGGTTTGCATAGTCGGCTCCAGTGATGGACTGTCAGAGGAAAGGGTGCTGCTTGTTGGGTGAGGTCAATGGGAAAGTCATCAGTTTGTCTTTTCTAACATTATCAGCACTTATTAATACATGTGATTTATTTGTATACATTAAAATGTTTATCTTTTTCATAGGAGGATGACTGATGGCTGGGCATCGTGCTTCACACATACGCAAAGAATGACAGTATCAGCTGTTTCAGCAAGCGCCTCCAAAAATTAACATACGTTACTGTTCAGGTGACAAAGCCCTCGAGTGGCTGTAGTAATTATGATGGGAGCAAAAGAGAAGTCAGGTGAGAGTATTATAGAGCCAATGAGTTTTAAAGTGGGAGGACATCCAGCTTTTTTATGAGCCAAAAAAATAAACAGATTTTGTTGTGATTTAATGTCAATAAATGGATCAAAAGGATGCCAAAAATAACTACACCATGATGGCGATTGAATTCATACTTTGTAAGGTCTGTGTGCAAGACGACAAGCAAAAAAAAATTGAAATGCTTGTTTTCTGAAGGGAGATTGGTTGATCAGGGCTATCCTAACTTAGCTCATAGTAAAGCAAAACCGATAGCTGGAATCAAGTGACCGACATATTTTCCAACCTCTTCTCTTACTTTTCGCCAGCAATCTTCTTTTTTGTCCAATCCCTGTATAAATGTGAGGTAGTATCATAGAACTCTGGATGCACACAGACAGCTACAAGTGGGGGTGGCACCTCCGTGGCTCGCGGCAGACAGGTTGAGAAGAGAGAGTGAAGATAAATCCACTTTTTAAACCCAAAAGTTTAAAAAATAAACTCTGTAAACAGCTCCAGATCAGAGCACAATCCGGTGTTTATTCCTCCAGACGTTTGGTGATAACGCAGCATTACACTGTAACCAACCAACCAGTCAATGTTTTTTTAATAGGGTTCAAAAGAGAATCAAAATTCATGACGTATTAAATTGCAGTCTTTACATCCCGTATGCCTAATAACATAGGCTTATTTTCCAAAGTACTGATTGTGCCTATCAT